TGACATTTCGGGCCTAGACCCTTCATCAGAAAAGCTTTTCTGATGAAGGGTCTAGGCCCGAAACGTCAGCCTCTCTGCTCCTATAATGCTGCTTGGCCTGCTGTGTTCATCCAGCCCTGCACCTTGTTGTCTCGGATTCTCCAGCATCTGCAATTCCTACTATCTCTGATTCAATATTACCAAGGGCAGTTAAGAGTCAACCATATTACAGTGGGTCAAGAGTTATGTGTAGGCCAAATTCAGCATGAACTGCTGCTTTCCTCCCCTTATAAATATCAGGAAACCAGACAATTTTTCATGTTTCCATTACAACAACTGTTTTGATTACAGATGACTCTGATGAAGAAACGTTAGCTTGCTCTCTCTATATGGATGCTGTCTGACTTGCTGTGATCTCCAGCATTTCAGTTTTCTGTACAGATTCCAACATCTGCAGTAATTTGTTCTTACTGTTATTACATCTGCCATATTTGGATTCAACCCATATCTCCAGAACATTAGCCTGGGATTGTACATTACTAGTGCAGTGATATTATCACAATGCCACCACCTGACAACAGCTGAAGGTTTCAAATCCCCCTTCCCAAGGTGCCAGATTCAAAATAAGAGAGGAAAGAGAAAATCCAAGTCATAAAAATAATGAGGTCATTCTTTCATGGAATCATACAGTACAGAAGAGGCCCTTTGACCCATCCAACCTGTGCTTGAGGTCAAGATGAAGGTCATTGCTTCTCCACTGACATCAAAATTCAGCTGTTGACTCTGTTACTCTATCCACAAATGCTGCCTGACCTCTTGAGCATTTCCAATATTTCAGATGTCCCACACCCACGGTATTTTGTGTCTTTTTTCCTGTAAAAAGGCTTGTCTTTTACAAACTTTTCCTTTGACAACCCTGGCAACGGATCTACTCATTTCAGATACCATCCACCTTCAGCTGTTTCCCATGCTGCCAAATGTTTTAAATCAGAAATGACGGATTGACATTTGCGAGCCATATCCTGGTATTTATACCCATCGCTCCCTGTGGCAGAGTCTGTGCCTGGGATAAGGGGCTGGGTTTCGTGGGGCTAATACTGTGGGATGACTTGCAAGCCGACCCCTGAAAACGAACCACGAGTGTTCGTGAAAAAAGAACCACCTTTTAAAAAAGATGTTAATTGATCTATTAGTTCCCATACTTTTAGTTTTTCTTACAATTACTTAAATTTAGTTTACGATGAAATGCAGTGTAAGATTTGAGCATTTTAAACAATTATTAAGAATACAGGAGTAGGCCATTCGGTCCCTCGGCTCCGTTCCGCTCCTCGATTGGAAGTACATCTCCAATTTCGAAACTTCGCCTGTCGAAACTGTCCCAGTTCAGTTCAGGGTTGCAATTAGATTGGAAAATCATTTTTTAAAAAATGCTTCGTTGTCTTTCAATTGCAACTACCAAATCACAGCCTCTAGAATGTATGAATAGAAAGGGGTCAGTTCTAAACAGGCGAATACAAAGGTAATAATATCAAAGACTATCGTTTTCCTTATCTACACCGTGGCCGAGGAGTATGGGGTATTATTTGCTTCCTCACATAACTGACTTTGCCAAAACATCGTTCAACCTCAACAATAAAAGCAGGACTCGTAACAGCTCCGGCCTTTTCACCCTCTCTGTCTTTGTGCAGGAAGGAGGGAGGTCGCTCGATCGATGCAAGTTTCGATCACGGTAGTGCGAATATATACAGCAACATCGTTTGCTGCTTGGTGAAAACCCAAACAGACAATGCTGAACAGATCGCAGGCAGCAGGAGCAAATGTTTCTGCAGAAATGTAAAAGGGCTCCACGAGCGCTGCCAGAGCTCGAGGGGGATCGCGCGACACACGGAGGCGTCTCATTGCTGGAACACAGCGGGGAAGCTGTCCGCCGATTCCATTCACCGGGGAGAAATGGTCTCATTGCAGGTTTTATTGAACGGATCGTACGTTTTATTTCAAACTGGGGCCTAATGAAAGTAGAATACTTGACAACGTTTGCAACGAGTCGCAGTCTGCTTGCTAATAGTAGCTGTTTTTTTTTTAAACTTTTGCAATGTGAAGCTGGTTCCCCACCCCCGAGTGAGGGTTGGAATGGAGCCGGCCCCGGGTTTGGAACGAGCTGAGGTGGGTGGGGGCGGGGGAGGTTCTCACAGCCGTTAAAGTCGGCCCCGAGCTCGAGATCACTGAGCAGGTTTACAGGGTGATTTAACGGTTAAAGCAGATTCATAGCTATTCCCCGTTAAAAGAAAGGCTGAGGAAATGTCGCCGGCAAAAGACACGTGAAGATGTGCCTGTCGGCTACGGGAGCAACGATGCCGACCGGGATTGAAGCAAGATCAAGATCAGACTGAAAGCTGTGAGCCAGCACTAAAATCTTGGAAGCCAGTTCAGACAAACTGTTAGCCCTGTTCACTAGAATAACCGCAGATTAGGTAACAGGAGGCTCCAGCGCTGTTTATATTAGAATTTTTTTAAATCACTGCTGAAAGTGTCAATTAAGTACTACAGTCCATTTGAATTGAAGTTTCCTTGCAGTAAGTGACACCGCTGGTAATAGCAGATTCGCACCGATTTCGTTTTTGAAATAAACTCTTAATCCTCCACTTGAATCAGGCACTTGTGTTGCAGGAGTGCTGTTGGTGAGTAAGAACCCTCACTTGATAACATCGGGAGACGAAGGCAGCAGTGATTCTTCCTGCTCAGTTGCTGTCAACGATCTAATGCAATAGCACTACAAATATGGGTTCTTAGCTGGATAAGAAGCAAGAAGCTTCATAGAGTTCTGACCTGGTAAGTTGTATATTATTGGTACTTCAAATATGTGCAGTGTTACTGAGCTGGCAATAACGGTTTTAAAACCATGACTCTTTACAATCTATTCTTCAGCTATTTGGTGCTCCAGCAGGGACCGCATATGTACTTTGTATCGGTAAAATCGAAATTCTACTTATGTAGAGTTCTTTATCATTTAGATTGAAGGGTCAGCTGTATGGTCATCTTTGGCGGACATAATCGAGGCCAGACTGCCCCGAAATCACGTTTACCAAAACAGCAGGTCTTCTGCCCGTGACAAACAAAACAAGATGAAACGTTCAGACTTCGATTTCAATTTCCATCCTTGTTTTCCAGTCCCGCCATAACCTTGTGCCTTCCATCTGTGTCATCACCTCTAGTCCTACTGACCTTTAAAGATATCCAATTATGACCTGTCGGTTATCCCCAGTTTTAATCACCCTGTATTGACGGTTGTACCTTCAGTTGTCACAAATCTAATCTCTAAATTCACTTGCTAGATCCCAACACTTCTCCTTCTTGTAAGGTGTCCATTTAAAACCTACAATTGTTTTGGCCAGCTGCTCCAATGTCTGTTTAGGTGGCTTAATGTCACCTTTCCTCTATCTCCAATATTTGCATGCATTTTGAATCTCTGGAATTAAACTGACGGTATGTACAATTACGGACTTCTAAATTTGTGTCAACGGACCTTTGATATAAGATTATAACAGATAAAGTTTGCATTTTCCATTGTATCTTGTTCTATATGGAGTTTATATTCCATATGAAAACCCAGTGAAGACTTTTCTATTAACTGGTGCCACTAGTTTTTCTAACCACAAGCCACAATCCCATTTATGTTGTCCCTCTGGAACTTAAATCTGGTATAAACAATCTCTCTCTTCTCTACAACTGAATCCTAGACTTAGTAAATCCATCACACATATTGTGGGTTAATAATTTCTTTTTTGTGTAACTACGCATTTGTTTCAAATTGTGCATTTGTTGGGGATTGAATTGTATTGGATTCAGGCCAGGAAAACTGAAAATTTCAAAACTGAGATTGCTAGATTTTAGTTAAGGGATATAGAATCAAGGAGTTAAGATATAAGTTAACCATGATCCAACCGAATATGGAACATTCACATTGGCTTGATCACCTACAGATCATATCCACAGCTTGACCCTCCCCATTTTAGCAGTTTCCAACCTCACAACGTGCCCCATTACTCAGCAGTGCATTCAGTTTTTCAGATTCTAAACTCGTAGTTTCTGCTTTACCTTTCCCCAATGTTGGTTAATGTGTTTGTGTCCCAAATTCTGGAAATCCCTCCCTAAACCTCTCTGCCTGCTCACAACCCTCTGCTCTTTTAGGATCCACTTTAATACCTGAAAATTTTCAAGCTTCTAGTCTCATCCATTTTACATTTATTTATTTTGTTCCACTAAATAATGACTCACCTGGGGATCTTTCACAATGTCCAAAAATGCTTCGTATTGCAAATAACGGTGTGGTAAATAAGTATGCATGATCAGTTCTGACAAAAAAAAAGTAAAGCTTAAAAGCACTTGTAAAAATTGCACACCATTTAATTGTGGAATTTGATGTAATTATTGTAAACAAATGTTCCTGGGATGTTAGCACTTACATGTCATGACATCTGAGTTTGAATTAAACTGCATATCATTTGAGTTGCCATGAATAATGCTACATAAGATCAGCTTGTCATCAAATTGGTGCCTACAAAATCTTCACTACAGATGCAAAGATACGTATCAGAAATAACTACTTGACGTAAGAAAATTATATGCAACCGGTTGGTACAAATTTCTTATTTGCAAGGAAGTGATAAATCAGAACTCCTTAACTGAATTGTATTAAATTGCCAACAAAAATAGCGTGCACTAAATCAATTAAATTACAATGAGGAAAGCTGCTGGGATTTCTTTTTTAATATTCAGGATTCAGAATGAGAAAGTATATACTAACATAGATTCAATTCACGGATTCCTGGGATAAAGGGATTATTTAATAAGGAAGTGTTGAGCAAACACTTATATCCATTAGTGTTTAGAAGAAGGAAAGATACTCTTATTGAAACATATATAGCCCTGAGAAGCATTTACAGAATGGATGCTGAGAGGATGCTTTACCTTGTGAGAAAGACTAGAAAAAGGGGTTGCAATATAAAAATAAGTGATCTGAATTTAAAATGGAGACTTTTATCTTAGAGGCTTGTTGATCTGTGGAATTCTGTTCCCTAGAGAGCAGTGGAGGTAGGATCAATTAATATTTTTAAGGCTGAGTTGGATAGATTCTTGACTGGACTCAAAGGTTTTAGAGGACAACAAAAATGTAACCCATAAAACCATAAGATATAGGAACAAAAGCAGGCCATATAGCCCATGGAGTCTACTCTGCCATTCAACGAAATCATGGCTGATCTGATCATCTTCAACTCTACTTTCTTGCCTTTTTCCCATAACCTTTAATTGCCTTCCTGGTTTAAAAACTGTCTGTTTCAGCCCTGAATATACCTAATGACCAAACCTGTACAGCCAGCTACAGTAAAGAATTCCATGGATTCACTACTTTCTGAGAGAAGAAATTCCTCCTCATTCCCATCTCTACTCTGAGATTATGGCTTCTTGTCCTAGACACTCCCACAAGGTGAAACAACCTCCCTGCATCTACTCTGTCAACTCCCCAAAAATCTTCGATGTTTCAGTAAGGTCTACTCTTGTCCTTCTAAAGTCCAGTGAATACAAGCCCTATCTACTCAATCAGTCCTCAGAAAACAGCCCCTCTACATCCTGCATCAACTTAGTGAGGCTTGTCTGGACTGCCTCCAATGACAGGGTATCTCTCCTTAGAGAGAAGGCCGAAAACTGTTCAGAGTATTCCAGCTGTGGTCTGACTATTGCCTTGTATAGTTTTAGCAAGATTCCCTATTTTTATATTCTATTCCCTTTTACCTTTCCTATTACCTTCTGAACTTGCATGTTAGCTTTTTGAGGTTTATTGCCGTGGACTGCAGATTCATTTGTGTTGTAGAAACATAGAGAGTAGGAGCAAGATTAGGCCATTCGGCCCATTGAGCCTTCTCTGCCATTCATTATGGTCATGGCTGATCATCTAACTTAATAATCCGTTCCTGCTTCTCCCCCATATCCTTTGATCTCCTTAGCCTCGAGTGCTTCATCCAGCTCCTTCTTTAATTAGTACAGTGTTTTGGCCTCGACTGCTTTCTACGATACCAGAGTCCACAGGCTCACCACTTGTAGATGAAGAAATTTTTCCTTTTCACAGTCCTAAGTGGTTTACCCTGTACCCTTAGATTATGAGCCCTGGTTCTGGACTTCCTTGCCATTGGGAAGATCCTTCCTGCATCTACCCTGACTAATTGCTGTTAAAATTTTATAGGTTTCTATGAGATAACCCTGTCATTGTTCTGAACTCCAGCAAATATAATCCCAACTGATTCAACCTCTCCTCCTACATCAGTCGTGCCATCTCAGGAGTCAGTGTAGTAAACCTTTGTACTCTCTCTGTAGCAAGAACATCCTTCCTCAGAGAAAGAGACCAAAATTGCACACAGTATTCCAGATGTGATCTCACCAAGGCCCTGTGTAATTGAAACAAGACATCCTTGTTCCTGTATCCTCTTGCTATGGAGGCTGAAATACCATTTACCTTCTTGTGTGGCTGCTGCAGCTGCATGTTTACATTCAGTGACTGGTGCCCGAGGACAGCCAAGTCTCTTTGCACATCCCCGTCTCTCAATTTATAGCCATCAGATAATCTGCCTTCCAGTTTTTGCTCTCAAAGTGGATAACCTCACATTTATCCACATTATTTGGCATCTGCCCACATATTTGCTATGCAATTGCTCATTCACTCAGCTTGTCCAAATCAAATTGAAGCATCTGCATTCTCGTCAAAGATGACCGTCCCATTCAGCTTAACATCAACTGCAAATTTGGAGGCATTACATTCAGTTCCCTCATCTAAATCATGACTGTGTATTGTGAATTGCTGGGGTCCAAGCACTGATCCCTGGGGTCCCTCACTAGTCACTGCCTGCCATTCAGAAAAGGACCCATTTATTCCTACTGTTTGTTTTCTGCCTGCGACCCAGTTTCCTATCCATCTCCAGACACTACTCGCATCCCGTGCACTTTAATATTACGCACTAATCTGTTAATTGCAATTCTGATGAAAACCTTCTGAAAGTCCAAATAAAGCACATTAACTCTGTTATATTCTCGAAGTATTTCAGTAGATTTATTAAGCATGATTCAATTTCCATAAATCCATGCTGATGTTGTCCAATCCTGCCACTGTTTTCCAAGGGCTTAGCCAATAAATCTTTCATAATGGAGTCTAGCATTTTCTCCACTACGTTTTGTCTCTGCCTCCCTTTTGAAATAGTGGGGTTACATTAACTACCCTAAAATCTGTATCAATTGTTCCAAAATCCATAGAATCTTAGAAGTTGACCACCCAATGCATCCACTATTTCTAGAGTCACTTCCTTAAGTACTCTGGGATGTAGATTATCAGACCTTGGGAATTTATTGGCCTTTAATCCCATTAATTTCCCCAACACCATTTTCCTACTAATACTGAATTCCTTCAGTTCCTCCCTCTCACTGAACCCTGTGTTCCCCAACATTTCTGGTATTTTATTTGTACCCTCCTTTATGAACACAGGGGGGGATCTAATTGAAACTTACAGAATACTGAATGGCCTGGACGGAGTGGATGTTGGGAAGATGCTTCCATTGGTAGGAGAGACTAGAACCCGAGGGCACAGCCTTCGAGTACAAGGAAGATCATTTAGAACGGAGATAAGGAGAAACTTCTTCAGCCAGAGAGTCGTGAATCTATGGAATTCACTGCCACAGAAGTCTGTGGAGGCCAGGTCATTGAGTACATTTAAGACTGAGATAGATAGGTTCTTGATTATCAAAGGGATCAAGGGTTACGGGGAGAAAGCGGGAGAATGGGGTTGAGGAACTTATCAGCCATGATTGAATAGCGGAGCAGACTCGATGGGCCGAATGGCCTAATTTCTGCTCCTATGTCTATAGTCTTATTTAGTTTGTTGGCTATTTCTTTGTTCTCCATTTTGTTTAGTCTTTCTCCATTTAAATAATACTAAATTCTTTATTCTTCCTGTCAGAGTGCATAACCTTGTAATTTCCACATTAGATGCAATCTACCAAGTTTTTGCCCAATCGCTTAACCTTTCTATATCCTTCTGTGGATTCTTTGTGACATCATCACCACTTTTGTGTCATCTGCAAACTTGGTGATTAAACATTCATTTTCCTTGACCAGGTCATCAGTACGTCTTGCAAATAATTATGCCCCAATACTGATCCGTGCGGCACACTACTAGTTACAGGTTGCTATCTAGTCACAGAAAACCACAATAAGATCAGCAAGGATCTTAGCAGATGACAGAGTGTGCACAAGGGGCTGAATGGCTTAATCCTGTTCCTAAGTCAGATATTCACATGTCAAATCTGGCTAGAGATTTCATAATTCATTATTTGAGTGAACATGTCTATAGAATTACATTTTATCTAAATGTCTTCATTATTATTTTCAGATAAAGAATTTTTGAATGGTCAAGACAGATTTGATATTCTTTCCAGAGGCAGCACATTTTTTAGTGAAAGGTGTTTACCTATGTTTATAACTCCAAGGATATCACGGTTTAGAGAATTATGAAGTATGTTTCATTATGATTTTCTTAGTATAACTAGTAACTTGTCTTGGATACAACTGCATTTAAAATTTAGTTTTTCCAAATAATTGCAAAATGCACTGGTGTTATGAACAAGGTAGTTATAATACTATAGATTTTGTAAGAAGCTAATTTTTTGACACGTTTACACAAGGAACCTTAAAGGAAATAGTCATCTGACTTTTCTTAAGGGTTCAACTGTGATCAACCAGATGGAGGAACCATACTGTAACTATCTCAAGAGGGATCACAAAAGACATTTGAAATTCAGTGAGCTTCAGAAAACAGAACTGAGTCTTCAAAAGGTGTGAAAACCCCTTGGCTTCTGAGAGAATAAGAGAAAAGCAGCTTCTTTAAAGGACCTCAACTTAATTCACTTTTTGTTTTCTTGGAACAATGATACATTTAAATTTACGGAGCAGCCATTTCCAGTGTTGTACAGAATTAAGTGCATCTTGGGACAGCTATTATGTGCATAGACCCCATTGGAACTCACAAAGACAGCGCATCCTTCAGCTGCAATAACTGTACAGTATGCAGAATAAACAGAAATTGCTCAGCAGGTCTGGCAGCATCTGTGGAGAGAACAACAGAATTAACCTTGTAAGTCCAGTGACCCTTCTTCAGAACTGAAAACAGCAAGGAAGAGGTGGTATTCATGCTGATGACTGGGCTGGGGGAGAGACAAGTGCAGATATTGTCAGGAGGGAAAGAGAGAGAGGGAAAAGAAAAGGGAAAGAGACAAGGGGATTGTTGGTAATAAGCCAGGGAAGAAAACAAGCTGAATAGGTGATAACAGGCTGTATGAGTGGTTGAAAATAGGTTTCCTATGCTAATAGCAACCCGTATAGGACAGGATTTGGGATTGTGGGGGTTGGAATCAAACAGAGGGATGTGCTCATGCTGTGAAATTCTTCAACTTAGTGTTGAGTCCTGAGGGCTCTGAGGCACTAAGGTGGAAGATGAGATATTGTTTGTCCAGCTTGCAATAAACATTGCTGGAGCACTGCAGTGGGCCTGAGGCAGAAATGTTTGCATGGGGACATGGTGGTGTGTTGAACTGTCAGGTAACTGGAAGCTTGCGGTTATTTTTATTGATAGAGCAGAGGTGTTCGATAAAACAGCCATCCAATCTGCATTTTGTCTTCCCACTGTAGAGGAGATTGCATTGTGAACAATGAATACAGTAGACTGGATTGAATGAAGTGCAGGTAAATTACTGCTGGAAATTTTGTCTGTGGTCTTGGATGGTGAAGAAGGAGAAATTGATGGACAAGTGCGCCACCTTCTGTAATTGCATGGGAAAGTGCCACAGGGGCGAGAAAGTTTTGGGGTGTGGAAGTTGAGCCATCTCTCTGCATCCAGTAGTTAAAGTGCAATAAAGAACTAAGCAAAAAGGTCCTTCATTCACTCCCTAAAGATGCTTATCCTACTGCGTTTACCTACAGATGCAAATTCAGACTATTCAACTCCAGAATCCATTGCAGCTATTGAACACAACTCTTCATCTTCAACCTTTCACTCCAGAGACAGTTTTATTTATTTCAAAAAATTACTTGATTCATAAATTATCTATAAGTAAATACATGTACAAAGCAGTTCAGTACAGACTTTGCAAAACATTCCTCATTAGAGCTTCAATCCAGTTGCAACAAAAAGGCTTTCTCTAAACAAGAAAGGAAACAATTGGCATTTTCATTAAGGTTAATAGAGGATCTCAAAACTTAACACACCCTCGTAATATGTTGACAAAAGGAACTTAAACGGTGGCCTCTCCCGACTGCATCGTGGCAGCAGCTGCCCCAAGCTTTAGTGCGTCCCTCAGCACATAGTCGTGGACCTTGGAATGTGCCAGTCTGCAAAACTTGGTCGAGGTGAACTTTTGCAATGAAAGACCACAGCATCTTTTACCGAGTTGGTGGTCTTCCAGGTGCAGTCAATGTTTGACTCTGTAACTCCAGACAACACTTCAACTGCAAGTCAGGGACCCACGACAATATCTTAAAGGACGGAATTGAATTTCAACTTTATTAGTATTCTTGATCCTTTTCTGTGTTTCATTTTTCTGTATATTTGGTTAATAATTTTATTACTTTTAGTTAAGCAACTTGCAGCAATGTTTTATACTAAAATAATATTTAAAGTGTTAGAAATTCCTTAAGACCAAAGTTTTATTCCTGGTTATTTTTAAATTAAAGCAAATTAAAATTCTGAAAGTTTAAAATTCAGCTATACAAACTCATTCTCAGCTCATTAATCACTTTGAGCAAAAACACTGTATGGGTTCTTCACAGCTGTGGTGTGGATGTTGAAAAGTATTTCACTTAACTTTGTTTCTATCAAGTATTTTATAATTATCTCTGGAAACAGATAAAACCTAGACACTCTAATCATTCGAGTCTGTCTTGTTTAGTGAAAAATAAGAAGTATTTACATAAAGATTAGTTTGTACAGCTATTAGTGAGCTCCTGTATTGTCTAATTCTTCTTCTGACTGATGTTAACTAGTAGAAACACAGTGTTTATCACAAGGTAAACAATGTTGAAACACTTTTTTAGATCTCCACAGTTCTTGCTGCAGTGAAATTATTTCCCTCACCTTCACCGGTACCAATGACTGTATCCTCTCGTTCGTAGTAACATGAATATATGCTGCATCTCTTCCATTGTTTGCTATGCTCCCAGGTTAATTAAAGGCCTTCAGACAGACATGCATTCTCTCTATTCTGAATGAGTTATCCTTGAAGCCCCACCTTTCTATTGTCTTCTTTACCACTCCCACATCTCTTCCACACCGCAGCTTCCTGGAAGAGTTAGAAAAGGTGCAGAACTATAGACAATTTCATGAATCAGTGGCTTCACCCTTCAGCAATGTTCGGGAAAGTTGCTGGAAGCCAAAATTGGTTGCTGTCTTTGCTACATCTGAAGTCGCCACCTGCTTCAAGAAGACCACCATCATCACAGAAAACACATGCAACACCCCTGATTGACTACTGCGGTGGCTGTGACCTCCATAATCATGAAGTGCTTAGAGAGATTAGTCATGGCCCACATCAACTCCAGCCCCCAACCTGCCTCGATCCCCTGAAATTTGCAAACCGGTGAAAACAAGATGCCATTTAACCTAGCCCTACACTCTTCCTTGGAACATCGGGATAACAAGGACACCTACTTTAGGCTCCTACTCAACAACTACAGCTCCACATTCAACAGCATAATCCCTACCAGACTAATCTCAAAACTCCGAGACCTAGGTCTCAGCTCCACCCTTTGCAACTGGATCCTCAGCATCCTGACCCACTAACAGCAATCAGTGAAGATAGACAACAGCACCTCCTCCATGATAATCTGCAACACTGGCGCCCTGTAATGATGCGTACTCAGCCCCATACTGTGCACCCGCAAAACTGTGTAGCCAAAGTTTGTTCAAACGTCATCCGCAAGTTTGCTGACAGCACCACTGTTATAGGCCAAATATCAAACAATGATGAGTCAGAATGCAGGAAGGAGATAAAGTGCTTGGTATCATGGTGCAATGATAACAATCTCTCTCAACGTCAGCAAAACAAAAGGACTGATCATTCCTTTCAGGAAGAAAGGAGGAAGACATGCCCGTAACTACAACAATGGAGTTGAGGTGGAGAGGGTCTAAAGCATCAAGTTCCTAGGAGTGACAATAACCAACCATCTGTCCTGGACCTTCCATGTAGATGCGATGGTCAAAAAGGCACAACAACGCCTCTTCCTCAGGAGGCCTAGGAAATTTAGCATGTCCATTATGACCGTCACCAACCTTTACATATGCACCATGGAAAGCCTTCTATCTGGATGCATAACAGCTTGGTACAGCAACTGAGATAACAAGGTGTAGAGCTGGATGAACACAGCAGGCCAAGCAGC